TCATCATGGTGGAAGGAGGGGTTAGGCAGGTCCATAGGGAATGTTTCCCATTGGGCGTCATCTCCTGGGTCCCTCCCTGTTTACAGGTGGCAGAAGGCTGCCATGCCTGCGGCGATGGTCTGTGTGGAGGCACTTTCGGGATTATTTCCCTGTGAAGGTATGGCGTGGGGTGCCAGAACAGGATGTCATGCAGGCAGTGGTTGTGGTACCACCCAAAAGGACGTGCCACCGTTATGTCCCCACAACGTCATTTTGTCCCTGCAGCTGGTGAAGACGCATGACCTGTCCCCCAGCCACAACTACATCATCGGCTCCCACCCCCATGGCATCCTCTGCGTCGGCGCCTTCTGCAACTTCATCACGGGCTCGACGGGCTTCGGGGAGATGTTCCCAGGCATCCGGCCCTTCCTCACCACCCTGGCTGGCAACTTTCGCCTACCCGTCTTCAGGGAGTACCTGATGAGCGGTGGTGAGCGTCCTTGGGCAGCGGGGCAGGCAGCTGCCTGCCACCCTGCCCTCATGAGCAGCCCTGCAGGCATGGCCAGTTGTGCTGGCTTGAGCAAAGTGGGTGCCCTGGGGATACACACCCTGCCTGTCCTGCTCCTGCCCACCTCTGCCTGCTACCATGTGTGGGCAGAGTGTAGAGGTGGTAATGCTCACGGGCAGGGGGACTCCCTGGTCCCATCTACTCTGCCTGCACCCTGCCTGAACTCCACCCTCGCCTTGCTTGCACCCTGCCTGCGCCCTGCCCAAACCTTGCCCGCATCCCGCCCACACCCTGCCTGCACCCTGCCCGCAGGCCTGGCAACCCCGGAGGACCCCACCCCCCCTTCCTGGGAGCTCTTTCGCAGCAGGGGGCGCCCTTGCACTGTCCTGTGCATGGTCCTTGCACGGCCCCACCGGACACGGTCACTTGTGGGGTCCCCCGTACCCCAGGCGCTGCAGGGGCAGGCAGTCCCACAGCACCGATGATCCATTCCACCGCAGGCCTGTGCCCGGTGACACGCCGTGCCATTGGGTACCTGCTGTCCAAGAACGGCACCGGCAACGCAGTGGCCATCGTCATCGGCGGTGCGGCCGAGTCGCTCTCCTGCCGTCCTGGTGTCACCACACTCATCCTGAAGAACCGCAAGGGCTTCGTCCGCATGGCCCTGCAGCATGGGTGGGTCATGGGCCCCACCACCACTGCCATCATGGGTTCTAGGGGTCCCAGCACCCCATTGCCACCTACTATGTCATCTCCACAGGGCCTACCTTGTCCCCTCCTTCTCCTTTGGGGAGAATGACCTCTTCCGCCAGGTGGTCTTTGAGGAGGGCAGCTGGATGAGAAGCATCCAGCAGCACTTCCAGAAGATGATGGGCTTTGCTCCCTGTGTCTTCTACGGCCGGGGCCTCACCTCTGTCCAGTCCCGGGGTTTCCTCCCTTATGCCAGACCCATCACCACTGTGGGTGAGCATCTCCCGCTGGGGCAGAGAGGACTCCCATAAGGTGGAGGAGTAGAGGAGGAGGATACCACGTGATGGGTGGCGTTGGAAGGCAACACTTGGCTCGTATCCCCAATGAGCCGAGCGTGTCCCCACACCACTGGCCTGACCTTTCTCCCTTCCCGGCAGTGGGGGAGCCAGTGATGGTGCCCAAGATCGAGGACCCAAGCTGTGAGACGGTGGACATGTACCATGAGATGTACGTCCGCTCCCTGCTTAAGCTCTTCAACGAGAACAAGACCAAGTATGGGCTGTCAGAGACGGACGAGCTGCACATCCTCTGAGCATAGCCGGTGCCGGCGGCCAGGTCCTGACTCACAAGGGAAGATGGCTCTTGCGGGTGGGGATTTCAGCCGACCTGGCCCAGGGGACACATGGGGGACAATCCCCACTCCGACCCTCCGCTCCTCTGCCCAGAAAACCCGAGTGGAAGATGGGAGGAGAGAAGGAAGCAAGGGGAGGGGGAGATTGGGAAAGGGTCTCCCTTGAAAGGGGTTTGGAGGGGCTGTGGGTGACACAGCTGTCCCCTGAGGATGTGGGGCTAATGTGGGGGGCCTGGTGCAAGGCTGGGGGCCAGCAATGGACACAGTCCCCCTGAGATAACCAGGACACCGTGAGCTGAGGGAGAGGGTATCATGGGAGGAGGGAACAAGATGGGCTCTTTGGGGTGGCATCCTGATGGTGAGTGGGACCAGGCTGGGGAGACGTCCCTCCCTGGGGTGGAGGGTGGACACTCGCAGACTTGAGGACCTGTGGAAGTGGCCTCAGCCAGGACCACATGGCCCTGGGCAAGGGGCAAGTGCTGCTTTGGCCCCAGATGAGCCTTCTCCACCACCTCTGTACCCAATACAGATTTCCAACCCCATGGCCACTGCCTGTGTGTGCTTGGGGGGGGGGAGGGGGCGGGATCGGTAGCACAGCAGCCGTACCCCTGCAGTCCCCATGTGGGTGGACCTGCCACCCATCTGTGTCCCCTCCCTGGCAGTCCTGTCTCCAGGGCTGGGGCTGTGCTTGGTGGGGAACCTTGTACTGCTCAGGTGCAACCAAACAGCTCCTGGGTCCACCTGGGCCGTGTCAAATATAATGGAAGGTGAGGGGCAGCAGCTGCTCTTACTGGGTTAACTGAGCTTAGGAGGGAGGTCTTCTTCTCTCTCAGTTTTTGGCTCAGCAGTGAGTAAGGAGCTCTCTGGGTACCACTGCCTGGTGGGATGGGGATATGGGACTGGGACGTGGCATCCCTGGGGCCCTCTCCCTCCTCGGGTGGCATGGGCAGCTCCTGGTGGGATGTGGCTGGGGAGTGACACCCTGATGATGGTATTGGCATCCCTTCCCTAGGCACACACCTGAGGGACTCTTGGGGGGTGATGGGGAGGCAGCCCCTCCCAGGGCTCCCCATGGTGGGGAGAGCCCTGTCCCATCCCTGCCTGGGCTGGTATGGGAGAGTTGACAGCACTGATAACCATCTCTGGTCTGCTTCTCTCTGCGTGCAGGCACTTGGTCAAACAAAAGGGCTGGATAAACATTTGGAAAGCAAACACCCATAAAGGCAGATTCCTGAGGACTCCCCAGTCACTGTGGGTGTCACTGCCTTGGCTCCTCACTCTGAATCTGCCTCAGCGCCAGTGTTAGGGTACCAGGTGGCTTTTCTCTGCTCTGAAATGCTTTCTGGGGAGAGGGTGGGCATCTCATCCCTCTCCCTTCTGCTATGGGAAGAAACAGGCCTGAGCGTAGAGAAAGGGGAAGGGGCTTTATTGGGGGTGATGGGCAGTGAGTGCCCTGTGTTGTGTCCCTCCCCATCTCTACCAAGGCCAGCAGCGTGACAGGGACATCTCTGAGAACCTCTGCCAGGAACGTGGCGGGCTCAGCATCAACTCCATCCTCAGGTTCGGTCCAGTTCCTGCATGTCGCTCTCGAGCAGACTGGAAGGGATGTGCATGCCCAGGGAGGGACTAGTGTCCCCTGTCTTTAATGACCTGGCAGCCCCCATGTATCCCCAGGAGCACCCCAGGATGGGATGCCAACCTGTCTCTCCAACATGGCTTTCTCAGCATCCTTCCCATTCCCACAGGTGCCCAGTGGCTGTCCTGCCACAAGCAGCACCATCACCTTCCTCTCACGGCATCCCAGGGCAGGGCTGGGACAAGCCCTGTGACCACAGGCCCTCAGCCCTGCGATCTCTGCCCCTGCAGAGGCTGAGTAGGGGCAGGTCAGGTCTGGGGACCTGGGGGTGCCACATGGAGCCTGGAGGAGCTGTAACTTGTGGAGACCAGGGGTGAGGTTACTGGAACCCCCTCTGGCCCCTCAGCACCCGCCTCTGCTCTGTGCTGTCTCTCGGATGTCACTGGCAGTGTGGCTGCCACCGGTGACATTGCTTATGGAGGGGGACACCAGGGACAGGTCACAAGTGGGCATGGGCCGGAGGCGCTGGGCTGGGCCCCGGCGCAGTCGCCCCCGGAACTTGTCCCCAGCCATGAAGTACAAGATGGGGTCGAGGCAGCTGTTGATGCTGGCCAGGGGCCGAGTGATCTTGTAGGTGAAGTTGATGATGTTGAGGGTCCGGCAGTTGGCTTGGAAGTAGCGGGAGGTGTAGTAGATGGTCCGGGTGATGTGGAAGGGCACAAAGCAGATGGCAAAGACAGTGAGCACGATGATGATCATCTTGATGGAGCGCTTCTTGTAGGAGGGCATTCGGGGGCTGGGGCTGGAGAAGCTGGACTTGCAGAGTCTCTTGGCCATCATGCAGTAGCATAGGACAATTACCAGGAAGGGGACCCCAAAGAGGATGGCCATGACAGAAGAGCTGTAGTGTACGTAATGATCAAATTCCTCAGGCTTGGTGGTATCGTGGCACAGGGTGCTGTTGCCCTTGGAGCTGATGGTGACAAAGATGAGGTTGGGGATGAGGCAGATGGTGACGACAAGCCAGACGCCCACACAAATGATGCGGGCATGCTTAGTCTTCACCCACTTCAGGGAGCGGATGGGATGGCAGATGCCCACATAGCGGTGGATGCTGATACATGTCAGGAAGAGGATGCTGCTGTAGAGGTTAGCGTAGAAAAGGAAGCGCACGATCTTGCAGAGCCATTTCCCAAAGGGCCAGTTGTTGCGATCAGCATAATAGTAGACCAGGGTGGGGAGGGAGAGGACATACAGTGTGTCAGAGACGGCCAGATTGAACATGTAGGTGGTGGTGGCATTCCAAGGCCTCATCCTGGAGATGAACATCCACAGGGCCCAGGAATTGAGGGACACCCCCACCATAAAGACAATGCCATAGGAGATGGGCAGCAGGATGAACTTGAACTCCTCATTGAAGATGCACTTTGCCACCACGGTGGTGTTTCCGCCTGGCCAGGGAGCTGGCGTTGGTGTCCACAGGGCAACTGGGAACGTCCTTGCTGAAGTGGCCATGTTCTCCAAGTCAGATCTAGGGGAGCAGTTAATAAAATCGCATTAGTCGTTGATGCCAACCATTGTTAGGCACAAAGCATGGAAGGGAGCCAAAGATGCCAGATTTTGCACCCCCTACGTCCAGGAGCTCCAGCCACTTTGATGGTTCTCTGGTTTTTCTCAGCTCGTGCGTTTGGGCCTCGTGGGGAACTGAGGGGGGCTTGACAAATCCTCCCCTTCGCAGCCCCCACAATGACACCCATTAATCACCCCTTTGAGCAGCGCGCAGTGACACCAGCACTGCATGGAGCCGGGAAGCGTGCCTGAGACAGAGGACCATGCCGGCCCCGCTGGCCAGCAGCCCCACAGCGTGCTGAACAATGAGACCTTTATGAGCAACAGCAGCCCCCAGCCGGTGCCAGCACTGCCTCTTGGAAGCCAGCTCAGCCTAATTGGCACCATCCTGACAATGCTGCTCGTTCCAGAAGGCTCCTTGACAGAAGAAAGGCAGGAGGAGAAGAAAGGCTTGTCTGGGGGAATATTATGACCCGGAGAAATCCATGGGGGGCTATTAAAGGAGCCTTTGGGAGAGAGCATCCCTGGATGGTGAGGGGCCTCCAGCTGCTGGGAATTCTCCATAGGAGAGGGATGATCTAAGCCCTGCAGAGAGGAGCTGCACCGGAGCCAAGTCCCAGCTCAAGGCAGTGTAAGTTCACAAGGCAAGCAGGACGTTTCCCCTTGCACAGTGTTAGGAACAAAGGCTGGGGTCTGCATCCTGCTGGCAAATTGGGCCCTGGGGCTGAAGCATGATGGCAAGCTGTTAAAGGGTTGCGTTCGCCTCTCAGGATGTCTGAAGTTCAGAGCCCACTCCTCCAGGGGAAAAAAGGAGCTTCTGCCACCATCATGGTGTCCAGCAAAGGACCAGAGAAGGCTGCCTCCGCCTTGGCCCCTCCACGCCCGCCACCATCCCTGGTGAAGCCATTTTGGTGCGGCCGCTTCTGCCGACTGAGGATGGATGCCGTGATGAGTGACCTGGGAGCAGGAGGGAGCATCTGCTGTGCTGCTGGCAGAGATGAGGGTGCAGCCAAAACAGTATCTGACGGAGGGAGCACTGGTGTCCATCCAGTTTCTGTTGGTCCAGAGCTTACCCAGGAGGTGATGGGCACCAGAATGGAGGAGGACTCAGGGAGATGATGCGCGTTAGTGGGATGCTGGTGTCAGTGGTACGAGGTGGAAGTCTGTGTCCTCTCAGGCTCCTTCGTTCCTTGGCTCCCTCATCATCCCCCTCTTGTTTGCCCCTTGCCTTGGCCACGGAAATGCGCAGCCTGACGGCTTCTTGTCACAGGCACTGTTGGCAGGAATATCCCTTAGGGTGTGTCCATGGGGTCAGCTGAGCTGTGATCCATCTTCTGCCTGCAAAGCTTCACCTGGAGAGACATCCCAGGGTTTACAGAGATGATCATAAATGAATCAGCAGGCAGATGGGCAGGCAGGTGGCCGTGGGACTGTCCCCTCCACACCACACGCACCTCCACTCTCTCTGTTTGAGTTGTGGGCTGAGCTGCAGCTTTGGGCTCACATCAAACACCCTGCAGCTTCTTTCCCGCTGTGGCTGGTGCGGGCAGCTGCCTGGCTTTATTACAGGGATGAGTTCAGAGAGCAACAGGCAGGTCCTGATCAAACATTAACAGTGGGAAGAACTTGCTCTGTTTTCCCAGAACCAGGAGGTAGAAAACCCTGAGCCTCCGAGTGCTGGTGCCAGTGGTGGTCCCATGGGGTGCTGTGCTGGTCACGCTAGTCCAAGCCCAGAGGCCGCATCTCCCCAAGCCATGTTGCTGCTGAGGACATGAAGTGCCAGGAGATTTATTTTCCTCTTCTAATGTCTGAGTGCAAGTGAGCAAGGACCCTCAAGCCCGACCAGACCAGAGGTGCTGCAGTGTTCAGTGACCAAAGCCAATGCCTATGACATAGGTCAGCAAAAAACTAAGATATGAAGAAGCCAATAAGTAAAAAAATAATAATAATCTGGTGTGAGAAACACATAAGGAAAAACCTGAGGAGCTGTGTGATGCCAGGCCTCTCAGAGTAGAGCAGAGGTACACAGCTTCTGGCAGCTGATAAAGCCCAAGCACGGTCAGTGCTCAGCAGCATGATTTAACCGTTCCTGAGCAAGCTTCCTTTGGGGATAACCACCAAAAAAAACAGAAATGCAAAAGAAGTTGACATTTGGCAAGTTTTATCTCAACAGTTTTCCTGCTTCCTCATCTTAGTCACAATCAAAATCAGTGGTTTAAATTACTGATTCACATCACCCCGAGGACACGTCACCGCCAGGCCTGTTCTTACTCCTTGCTGATGTCCTCAGCAAGGCTTTCCCTGGCCATGGCCTCTCCAGCATGGGCTGAAAAGGAAAAGGAGGGACTGACCGCACCCATGGTGAGGTCTGAGCCAAGCATTCGGGCTTGCTGCCAGGGTGGGAGATGGAAGGCACTGCAGGGAAAGAACATGGAGCTGGGGAGGTGATGCCTGTTCCTGCTCTGCCCATTTTGTGGATGCATGAGGGATGCAGTGCTGGGGAATCCCTTGCCCATGGTAAGCACATCGCCCTGGGACAGTGCCTGCGGGCTGACCACTGCATGTACCCCGGGAAGCAGTGAGGGGTCCTGCAAAACACCCACACGACCATCTGCCAGCAGAAAGGGGCAGGGGATGGCCACAGGGCCATGTGTCAGAGGGCATGTGTTGCCCTTGGCCCTTTGCTGCAGAAACAGGAGCACTACCCTGGCTCCTGGCCCAATGGCCATGCCCAGCCTGAACCTGTCCTTTGGCCTCAGTGGGAACTGGCAGTCACCCCCAGCCCAGGGTGCCCCGGCAGCTGCCCTAGGCTTCCTGCCCTGGGGATTTACAGGGGTGTTGGAAAGACACCAACGTAATTAATGAGTGGGGCAGCGCTAAATGCAGACTGCTCCAGAGCCAAAGTCCAGCCCACTGGCAGGATGGGATGGGAAGTCAGGGATCGTGGTGAAGCAGGCAGGAGCTTCAGAGAGGGGATGCGAGAGTAGATTTTGGATGGAAGCGAGGAGCCACAGACAGACACGGGGCTGGGTGAGTCTGGGACTGGCTGCCACTGGAAGCAAGGGAAAAACAGGGCTTTTCTTCTCGCCTAAGCTCTCAGAAATTGCAAAACACGGGGAAATTATGCAAAGCATCCTGCAGAAGGACCCTTGTCCCTAATCGCCACGTGGTTCATGCAGCCAAAGCCCCCAGCACAAGGGGAGCGTGACCTAATTTCTTTTTGCTTCTTCCCTTCAACTGCAAGAGCAGCCAAAGCACGATCTGCCTGCACTGCCTGGGTGCCAGTGCCTCCTGCCCAGGGATGCCAGCAGGGTCGGGTGCTTCCCACCATGTCCCTTGCTCTGAGGTGACCGCCTTTCTCAACAGGGTGGGAGGTGAGAGTTTCCTTTCACCCTTGGGTGGGCTGTCCCTGTCCCTCTGCCTCCCCAGGAAGTGTAGGAGCCCACAGCATAGAGCTAAGCCACAGCAGCCCGAAGGTAGTTTCGCTCTGTGGGAGACAGTGATTTGGGGAGAAGGAGAGGAGATGGACACACTGGGAAGGAGGAAAGCCCTCAGGGATGAAGACAGTGGCATGTTAGGGAGGAGGAGGGTGCATGGAGAGATTTGGGGGTGGTTGAGGGATTGGGGAGAACCAGGTGACCCCCACCCTGCACCCACACAGCCCTGGGGATCCCACCTCCTTCCCTTGAGGGTGCAAAGCTGCTTCCCTCAGGGCCCCCCAAACCTGTCTGGGTTTGCATCACTGTGGTACGGCCGTGGTGAGGCTGTCCTGGCTGTTGCTCTCCACCAAGAATGGGCTGCCCTGGCTCACCTGTGGTCCTGGGCTGGGGTGGCTCTCAGGAGCAGAGCACCCCCAGGAAGCAACTGTCCCCCGCGGGGCTGGGGGCCATTCTGGAGGGGCTGCGGGCTGCTGTTCTCCGTGCCCTGCCGTGCTGAGTGTGCCAGCTCCTGCTCTCCCACCGCTGGGAGCAAAGTGCCCAGGAGAGGCAGGGCTGGAGGCGGGTGGAGGCGGGGGCAGGAGCCCAGGGCTGGATCCTGTCACGTTCCCTGCCCATGTCCCTGCCCACCCCAGGGGCTGCCCGCAGGACTTCAGCCCCGCTGTGCTCCCATCCCATCCCGTCCATTGCCCTCGCAAGGCTTTGGGCCACCTGAAGCCCCCACAGCAGCCCCCCGAACATAGGACATGTGGGCCTCACCCATGGGGTCACAGCCCTTTCCCCATGGGGGCCAAGGACCCTAGGCCATGGGGACCATGGCCCCTCACTCATAGGGACCATGGTGCCTCAGCCATGAGGGCCATAGTCCCTTGTCTGTGGGGACCACGTCCCCCTGCCCTTGGAGACCATGGCCCCTCACTCACCCCAGAGCAGCCTTCCTGCCCCAACTGGGACCACACGGGTCCCACCAGTGCCTGCACCCTGGGGTGCTGCCCTGCTGGCACCCCAGTCCTGCAGGGCAATCCTGGGGACAAAGGTGACCACTGCCACCTTGAGGCTAGCCTGGGCATAGTGTCCCCAAAACCAGGGCCACCTTGGGTGTCACAGCAGACAGGGCCGTGATGGGTCAGCGTGTTCCCATGTTTTGAGGGGAGTGTGTGGGGCAGAGCTGTGCCTGCTCCGGAGGATTTAACACCTTTGCGAGCGGGCAGGTGGGTGAAGGGTCGGTGCTGTGCAAACATGTCAGCATTGTGAAGAGCAGGGCATGCCACAGGCGAACAGGTGCACCCCAAGATGTGCAGGACTACAGCCAAAAGCAGGCTAGCTCGGGGGAAGCAGAGGCGTGAGGGGCTGGATGGCTGGAGCGGGGGCAGCCCAGGGGTGCTTGCCCACAGAGGGAGAGCATGGGGGACCCTGGGTGTGCAGGGCTGAGTGGGCACAGCCAGCGCGTTTGGAGGGGAACTGTGCCACCACAAGCACCGGCCGAAGGCAAAGCTAGCCCAGCCCTGC